GCAGATCATCCAAGTCGAGCAAGAGTGTGCAATTCTGAGCATTTTAATAAAAATTTTGAATGGACTATAATTGCCGAAGTACTTACAGAAAATCATTGGAAAAAATGCAGGTGGGCATACGATTGGAAGAGGCCACTGCAATACCTTCAGCCCCAGCTATACAATTTTACTGGAAGAGGAGGTCAAGATCCTTCGTTGAACGCAACCTATGCTGCTTTCTTGAAGACAAATGCCGAAGCCTTAGTGACAACACACCACCGTGGGAAATGGATCCTGGTAGCTCTCTAAAGTTTGATAATCACTATTTTGTCATCCTCAAGCAACATATGGGCCTCTTCGAATCCGATGCCGCCCTTCTGACAAACAATCACGCCCTCAAAACTGTCAACGATATGCTTGACTCATCGAAATTCTTCAAAGACTTTGCAGTGGCAATGAAGAAGATGGGAGCCATTGGAGTTCTCCACAGGGACTCAAGGGAGATTAGGAAGAAATGTTATGTTGTTAATTAATCCGTCAGTCACTTTGTTTCTGCAATTTAATTGTTTTCTGTCATTGTAATGTACTAGAAATTATCAAATCAACTAATAATAAAGTTTTTTTAAATTTACAAGTAGAGTTAATATGAATATATATATTTTAATGTATATTCAAAAAATAAAAAATATATATATCATCATCTTAATCTCATTCCTAGAGTTAAAAATTTTACTAAATATCAAATAATTTTTTAATGTATTAATGTTTTTAAACAAGCCACTCTTTAAATAAAATTCTAATGCTTAAGCATTACCATTAAAAGTCCACCATTTCTTTCTTAAATCTTGCATATGTTCTATTTGGCTTTTTTATTTTATTTTATACCAGTATTATTTCTAATGTGCAAGTAACAAACGCTAAATTCTAACTTTGCTTTTATTAAAAATTGATGAATAATAATTCAAAATTTATTTAAAATTAATTCATATATTTATTTTTAAAAAATAATATCCAATAAATATTAAAAAGTGGTTGATTTAATAAAATTAAATTTATTTTTTTTAGATTAAAAATTTTGATTCGAATCTTATTGATGATTATTTATTGATCCTGAAAGATTGAATAATTTATCAATTCTCGAATTTATTCTTAAAAAAAAATTTAATAAATTTAAATTTTTATAAATTTGAATCACGGGGCTAAATTCTCATCTAGTTTTAAGTTAGGATACCAACTTTTGCTTGTATTTTGTTACTCAAGTCCCAAAACTGCTTAAGAAAATTCTGGACTGTTTACAAATAAAAACGGTGACGTTTTGGGTATAAGGAAAGCCAATCTTATAGTATACAAGCGATCACCAAAAAGGAACTCTCATCAGAATCCCAACTCTTTCACTCCAAGCTCTTGTCGTCTCCAACAGTCACTTTCCCTTCTCCATTATAAAGAAAATAGCCAAAACCATAATTCTTTTAGCTCATATCTCAGCTGAAACTCGTTTAACTCTTTTAGCCTTCAAACGCTACCGTCTCGATTCCAAGATGATGATCAGAATCCGCAGTCGAGACGGCCTTGAACGGATCCAAGTCGATGGGCCCTCACATATCAATCTCCCAATTAAAAACCCTAATTGAATCCCAACTCCAAATCTCCATCCAGAACCAAACGCTTTCCACTGATAAAAATCTTCTTTTAGTTAAAACCCCCGCTGACCTCATCCGCTTCACCGACATGGCCGACCCTTGCACCCTACTCTCCGCCTTAAACCTCTCTCACGGCTCCATTATTTATCTTTACTATCACGGCGAACGCACCGTCCGCGGCGGCCCTGCCGTGTCTCCCGCCGGATCATTCGGCCGTAAAATGACCATGGACGATCTCATCGCTAAACAAACCCGGATCACCCGCCAGGAATCCCCTCACTGCGACTCTGTTTCCTTTGACCGCGATTGCGCATACGCTTTCCAACGATACGTGAATGAAACGCTGGCGTTTGCTATCAAACGCGGCGGGTTCATGTACGGCACCATCTCGGAAGAAGGTAGAGTGGAAGTGATTCATTTACGAGCCACCTCAACAAGGATTGGAAGACGATTTGATTCTTTTAAGGAATCCCGAAGAAGAGAAATTGGTTGATGCCATTGCGGCAGGGTTAGGATTAAGAGAGTAGGGTTTATTTTTACCCAGACGATAATGCAAGGCAAAAAGGACTATAATTTTCGAACAGGGAGGTTCTACAGGTGGCAGAGCTTCACGCCGAGAGCGGGCTGAAGGAGTGGGTAACTGTTGTGGTGAAGCTGGAAGCCAATGAAGATGGGGCTGCGGATGTACATTTTGAGGCTTTTCAAATGAGTGATATGTGTGTTGAGTTATTTAAGAAGGGGTGGTTTGTGACAGAGTTTGGAGAGGATGATGATCCAAAGCTTTCAAAGATGAAGAAGATGTTGTCGTCGGTGGAAAGGATGTTAAGGAGGTTGATAATGATTTCTTCTTGGTGGTTGTAAAGATTTTCGACCATCAGGTGCGGAATTTTTTTTTCATTATCTGATTTAATCAATTAATGTTGTAGAAATAGTTGCTTTTTATAGTTAATAATTGCGGTTGTTTTCATTTTCTGTTGTTGTTTCTAATTAACCTTTTAACCTACAAGGTGTTGAGTGTTGCATGTGAAGTTTACATAATTCACGGTGCTAGTTTACACTCTAGTTTAGACCAGTGTCACTATAATTTTAGCTGTTGAATTGCTTGAGAGGAGGCATGCAAAATGTTATCAACTAGCATTTGTGGCACAAATAGTTTTGTATGTGAAGAAGAAAGTAACATATAAAGCTAATGGAAGGCCACATTTAGGTTAATAAACAGTTCGCAAGAGAGTTCATTGTTAAATAGTCCCGGAATGGAAGGTGGAGTTGCAAATGTGCAGCCATCATGGAGAAGTTTCTTTGGAGTTGTTTACTGTGTCTTTCGTTTCTTGAATTGCTTACCATGTCCAGAAGATAGATTGATATTTATATATGATGGTTATAGCTTAAGAGGACGCTTTTGTCAAACCAAGAAAGAAGCAAATAGGGATGCCAAATAAAGGTCTTCCCTTAAAATTATAGATGGTTTACTGACCTACAGCAAAGGAAAATGATTGCAGCTCCTGCTGTTAGTACACCATGATATTTAGGTTGGATTACATGATAGACGCAATAAAGAAACCATGTATTTGATTAATCAATTACTATAGCCAGCATTTTTACTATTCAAGTGAGGTCCAGGTTAGAAATTCTGGTGTCAGTCTAAGGTTGGTGGAAAATTGGAAGTTGCCTTTGGCTTCAGTCACGGGTAGTATTTATGTAAGTATAACCGATACATCTAGTTTCTTTTGTGATATATGCTATAAATAGCCTCTATAGTTCTAGAGTCTGTATCCAATGAATTCAACTCCTTAGTAGCAGTGCATTTGGTTGGACGAAATCTTAACTTTTTGTTTAACCAATTGATTACTTGGTTCATGATAACTTTATGGATTGCCTGGAACTATACCTAGCAATGAAGGTATGGCCCTCCAAATTTAAGGAAACTCCACTATGTGCAACACTCATACTAAGGCTCCAAAAAACACCATCCAATGTCAATTTCTGCCGGCAGAGTTGTCATGTGCCTTAAAGTTATCATCTGCATTTGCTGCTAGTCTTTCATTGCAAACAAGAGTGGTTCTAATGTATTTATTTCTTAGGTTGGACAGGTTAAATGCCGGCTATATATCTCCATTAGATTGATGCTCACCACCCCTTAACTATTTTTCTTTTTGTTAAGAAAGAGAAAGGGTCCATTAGATTGATGCTCACCATCACTTGACGATTTTTATTTTTCTTTTTGTGAAGAAAGAGAAAGTGGGGGGGGGGAGAGATTTTTAATTATGCACATGTAATTTTGATTTGCTGCAGATTCACCTTCCTCTATTACTTTGGAACTCATTTTAATAGTTGCTTTTAACGCAGGGACCTCTTTCCTCAACATTTCCCATTGAGAACCGAAACAACCATGTGACAATGGGGACACTTAAGAGTCATCTAGATAGAACAAAGAGTCTTCCATTTGTGAAGAGAATTTCGGATTTTCATTTGCTGCTGTTTCTGGCCATGTCTCATGGCCTTGGTTCAGACGTACCTGCACTTGCCGAGTGTGTTAACACACAGACAGCCGTGCCAGAAGGTTATCAGCTCCTAATTGAGTCCATGGCCAACACATCTTGATGTTACTTACATGCTTCTATGTTTATCGAATGTAGTGTATATTTATGATTATTACAAATTACTTTATGCCATTGTTTACTAGGCTATTAGCAATTGCAGTTGATTTATGATTAAAACCCTAAGTCCCTTGGTACAGAGGAGCCTTTTCATCGACAGATTCAAGTTAAAAAGAATTGGACAGTTTACCGGCAGTTTCAACATTGTGCTTTAGATTCAAAGCTGAAAAGTGATCCACTGGTTAGATTTTTTCTTTTATCCGAAAGTGACTTGAGTCAGATTGATGACTCTTTATCTTAGGTTTGAGTGTCCCTGATACATAGAAATTATGATGTGAAATATCTGCCATTGCGGAGCTTGGTGTGTCTATGGAAGGCGAATCCTGCTATGTTCCAATACATTTTTGGTTGAATCGGTTTATATTACTAAAAAAATTTGTTCTTTCCAAACGTTTTCAAGTAATCATTTACATTGAAAGAAATCTGTAATATCAATATATAAAGTTGTTACTGATACAGATTTTTTTCATTATTTATATCTTTTGTAATAAGCTTACATAATAATAATTTTTTTGGCCCAAATAAGCTTTACTTGTTAGAAGTTGACGCGGTTATTATATTATTAAGATACAAAACAAGATCATTATGTTATTATTCATTTAAATGTTTTTAATTATACAAAAAAAGTAACATTAGTAGATAAATTAAAAAGGATGAAAATCGAAATGTAAAATGTGATATAATAGGTTTCGTGCAGTCGGTCATTTTATTATTTATTAAAAAATAAAATAATTAAAAACAATGAACATAAATCCAAATTAACCCTCACCGTTACTATAGCATTTAATTCTATCTTGTTGATTTATTTTATTTTATTTTATTTTATTTTAAAAATAGTAGAGTTAGTGTAGCGCCTTAGCGGCGACTTGATCAAGTGTATCCGTTACCACTTACCATACTACGAGTCCTTGACGTTCTCACACTAAATTACCCTCGCCTCCAATCACTAAGATCTCACGGCCCTTAGAACTTAACAAAATCGTTTGGCGGGAGATTTCATTTTCTCCTCTATTTCTGCTAATTCGGTCCATCTCAGGGCAGATATCCGTTTCTCTCTCTCCCTCTCTGTCCCGGTCAAGTTCTCTAGTAGTAATTCAAATCCTAGGTCATGGATGACGGTGCGCCTCGACCCTACAATTACTACTCGTCGTTCGGTAGTTGTCTACTCTCTCTCTCTCTCTCTCTCTCTCTCTTTCTGCGCATGTAAATTAATTCTTGTAGTATATCAGTTGACCTAATTTTGGTGAAAAAAGGGCTAGGTTTCAAACTCGAGGAGGTGGAGATGAACCTCGTGAGGCAAACGGTAACAATAGGGAGAATCAAGAAAGGAGTAGCGATGCCCATGATGGGAGCCCCAACCTAGAGGAATGGGAGGGTTCACCCGAGGATTTCGAAGAAATTCGTCCCAAAACTAAGCCAAGTGGAGCTGCTGAGGGAATTTCTGATGTCTCGAAAAGAGCGGACGAGAGATAAATCGGTAATTGACTTTGAAGTTCTTTTGTTTTTGAATCTTTAAATTTATATGCTTCTACTGAAGATCCCTAGAGTTATGAATGAAGCTTATGATCTTAGTTTATGTTGGCTATGGGTTTCTACATTTTGCTCTTACCATAAAATTGGTCCTTTTAAGTACATATTTGTAGTGTTGTTCTATGAAGAGTATTTTCCTTGTTGCTCGTGACAGGTTGGGAAGGGGAGGCAATAGGCACAGATCGGAGATTTATTTACATCCTAAGGTGGGGATTTAGAGGCTTTAAGCAAGGTTGGGTATTGTATTTGTTGCATGCAATGTTTATGAGGAAGAAGAAGGGAAATAACATTTAATGATTTAACAAACAAAGAAGTCTAAGTTCGTGAAAGTTTTCATCCTTCAAAATTTATCTTTACCAAAGACATTTTTGTACATGTGGTGCATGTGAATGTTTGAGGCAGTCTACTTTGAAATTTTAAAATGCCAATAGTGGTTGTGATGGTCGTTACAAAGGAAAACTAGTTAGATGGAGTGTCCCAGGAATTACTTCCAAGTTTGACCTCCACCTCCAGCTCCACCTCCATCAATCTGGCCTACATGCTTCTGAGGAACAATTACCTCATCATTAAGTAAAAGTACAAGGCATTCAAAATGGCATTTATATGCCCTAATTATATACTGTCTTTGGTAATTAAGTAATTTGCTTTGGACGATTGGAAGTGTATCATCTCCATGCTCTTGTATGAGAATCCATTAATAGCTGATGAACATGCAACAAACCTGAGTAGGCTTCTTTTTGCTTCTGTCAGAAAGGCTGTTGGAGAGAGGATTGTTCCAGCTTCTGATAATCAGAAGCAATATTACCTCAAAAAGTATCTAAATTCTTTGTTTCTTACTCCTTATTATCATTCCTCCTTAGCTCATATAAGGATTTAATTGCAGTATTATTTGTATTTGCATTACTAGTATGATGATTTTCACTGCATTGTATTGCCACTCACAAAGATGACTAAATCTCAATTTGTCTTTTTTTAAAATTCCAGGAAATATTTGAAAGCAACAGGCGATATATAACTGTTGCCATGATGAAGAACTACCCATTACTTCTGCATAAATTCATGGCTGATGAGGCCAAAATTCCATCATTGGTTGAGATTATTGTGTTTATAACCTTGAGCTTCATTCTTTGAAGAGACAGGAACAGTTAGGTGGTAAAGTTGCTTGTTAATGTCAGTTATGAGATAGTTTTTTGTACCTTTTCATATTTAGTACTGATCTGCTTTCCCTTCTAGAATTTCAGAACTATTCTTCAGCTCATCAAAGATGCATTTTTCAAGCATGGTGAGAAGGACACATTGAGATCTTGTGTGAAGGCTATTAAATTCTGTTTCACTGAAAGTCGAGGAGAGCTGCATGATTTTGCTCATAATAAATTCAAGGAGCTTGAAGATGAACTTATTGATAAGCTTAAATCTGCTATTAAAGAAGTGATTGTATGTTTCTATCTGGGCCTTTTGTTCTTGATTGTGGCCTTGTTAACCGAATGTATACAGTTGACAAGTTTTAAATTTACAGGATGGAGAGGATGAATTCTCTTCTTGTAAATTTAAAATGGTTGTGTGAGCTTCAATTATCAAGGCCTGTATCAATTATATGGAGATAGTATCACAATCTTTCACAGCTTCAGAAACTTGGATGATGAAGTAAGTTAAATGAGCAAATTTAAAAATCTTTCATTTTGTTTTTTTTCTGTCCCTTGCATTCGTTCATAACTGCTGTTCATTCTCATTTAGGTTGTTAGTTTTCTGCCGCTCAATATGTGCTTGGTGTTGCCTGGTCTTTGCACTCTATTATAAACAGTGAAACTGTCTCTGAAGGATCCTTATCCTCTCTCCTGTCTAAATGTGGCATCTTGTTGGAGGAATTTGAGTACTTTCTTAATGCTCCTCCTGAAGTCAGGGAAGGTGGAAAATCTGGAAATCAACTAGCCTGCAGGTTAATCCTTTTGCCTTAATATATGATTTTTTTAAAGAAAATTCCAGAAGACCGTTTACTGTTTTCTCTAATGAAGTTCATCTAATGACCCAGGCTTGTACTATGCTAGCAGATGTCTGCTGTCTGTTTAGGAAGACTAACTTTTTGTCAACAAAGCTTGAAAGTTAGGATTTTGTCCAGATGCTCCTTTTCTTCAAAATTTCTGGAGGCTTTGCGAGCAACAGCTCAAAATTTCAGGTGATGATTTCTTTCATTTCCTTTTTTTGAGCTCAATCTTTGAAATCTGTAACTTGCTGCTAACCGGGCCATTACCCCTCACCATATGGTTGAAATCAACTGGAGCCAGGTAACTTTTCCGTGCCTGCCTATTGTTAACTAACACCTTTTAGATGTTGGCTGCATACATTGATGAGAATTCATGTTAAACTTTCATGTTGCTATTTATTTGCAAAGTTTAGTTACACCTTGAATGTATGTTTTGCAGATGACACAGAAGACGAAGATGTTAACAATGAGTATATTGAGGAGACAAATAGAGATGCAGCCATGATTGCTGCTGCAAAGTTGATAGCTAGTGATACGGTTCCAAAGGTCAGTGTTTGCTATGCTATTTCTTGCATTCTTGGCATTTCTTGTTGTTTCACATTATATTTCTGATTTACAAAAACTCAGTTCAAAAACCAATTTCTGCTGCAGGATTATCTTGCTCCAGAGATAATTTCTCATTTGTGATGCGTGGAGCTGGCATTGTAGAGATTGTAAAGAATCTGATCACAGTTCTGAAGAAAAAAGATGATGATATCTCTGTAATCTTTCTAGAAGCTTTGAAGAGGGTAGAATTCTTGACTTCAATTATTGTGGTGAAATTTAGTCATTGGTGACAGACCTCATGTACTAATCTACAATTTCTTTTATTTTTGCAGTATATGTTAATTTCAGCATGTCTTTTTGAAAAATATTTACTTGTATGCTAATTTACGGCTGGAAATTTTTATTTTTTTTTCTTTGCTTCTCAACTTTATGCACTAACCTCATGTACCTAATGAAGGGATATCTCAATAGGGTTGATTATAAGCCCTGAGATTCAGCATCAAAACCAACTGACCATCTCTTACAATTAAAAAAAAGAAGTGAGAAGACAAACAAAGCTTTTTCTTCTTTTCATAGACATGAAGCAAACATTAAAGCCCTGCCACTTATTGGGAGTAATGACCGAAAGGGCTTTTTGTATAGGTTGTTTGAGACTATATTCACGTAGAAAGAGTTTGTAAAATCATTTTTAATTGAAATTTGCTAATTTGCTCTGTTTTTAGAATATATTTGTCCCATTTTTTGAAAATAATCAAAGTGAAATGAAGTCAGAAAAGCTTTTACTTGGGCTTTGAGTGTTGTCCACTTAAAATCAAAGAGCTTTGTTCAGAGTTTGTAGGAGTGGCATGTAGATTATAGAAGGCTAGAAGTATACTCTTTGACCAGCCTAAAATTGACATGAACTGGAAGCATTGATAATATGTCTCTCTCTTTTTGTATATCCCCTTTAGTAGTTGAGCCCATTTTTTCATTTCACCAGGTCTATCCTTGACATGTTGAACCCTCAAAAAGTGATGAATCCTTAAAATGTGAGTCTTTTTAGGACTGTAAGCACCTGGCTGCTCGGCTTGCTGGAATATTCATCTGTGCTGCATGGAAGAAGCACAGACCATAGATTTAAGAATTGTTAAGGCATTGAGCATGCCTTTTCAAGCTGCTTCTAAACAGCTGTCTTTGCTGGAAGCTTTTGTGCTTCATTTTGAATCAAGACTTTCAGTGCCTGACATCCGAGCCATTTAAGAAATTTCTACTATGTAATGTAAGACATTCTATTTCATTCTTTGGACAGGGATTGATCAGTATGCATCACTTAATATTTTATTATTTTGTAGTCCACAGGATATCCAGAAGCGGACAGAGAATGTAAATACAGATGAGGATCCAAGCAGGTGGCGCCACTACACTGCATTTTATGATAGTTTGCAAGAGAAGTGTGCAAAGAACAAAGGGATTCAAGGTACTAGTTAATCTCACTTCAATCATTCTCTTGTTCTTTTGTATGTGAAGTAGAAATTTGATCACATGTTCCCAAGCATTGTGGTTTTCTTATCATATCATCATTGTTGAGTAATGATTCCGTTCTTTGTATTTTAATTCAAGAACTAATTCAGCTGGTTTATTGCAGATGAGAAGGAAGGGACGATTGCAAGATGTAAGGGTTGCCCCCGAAGCGGCAAAATATTAAGGGGAAAAAACATTTTGATGAGTACAATTCAAGTGAAGAGGATTCAACTAGCTCATCAGACCAAGAAGATGCTCAGGGTGAGGGAGATAAGAAAGATGAGGAAGAGGAGAATGCTCCTTTGGGTACATGCGCTTGAGTCCTAGGTCATTACGAGTCTCAAGAGAAGAAAACAGAGGCCAGTCAAGGACTGGAGCTTCTGGAACAGATAATTTAGCTGCTTCAAGTACTTCAGGTATGAAATGCATTTCTAGTTTCCATCATGATTTGGAGATTGGTCTTTTGGCTAAGACAAGAATTTAGAATGTGAACTGCAACTGCATTGTATGTGTTGTTTGAAAACGTGGTTTGGCACCTGCTTCTGTCTATTGTTGATCATTACTTTGACAAGTATGAAAGACACGATAACTTGGGGATTTATGAAGTGGAACAGCATTGGAACTTAATAGTCCCCAAATTTCAGTTTCTGTTTGAAACACCATTATAGGATTTTCTTTGCAACTGTTCCATATGACAACGTTAAAGTACCGTCCAACCTTGATGTCAATATGTCCATAACACAAAGCTAGTTTTCCATCTTATCAAAGTAAAACGTACTCAGTACACTTAAGCATATGTTGATTTATCTATCTGTTTTTATTAAACATATGATCCTAAGAGGTTAGCATTTAGGATTGATTATTTATTTTGGCTATGATCTATTGTTAGCTTGTTATTGAGACCCAATCCTGATATAAGTTTTGGTATAATATTGGAGCATAGCAAAATGTTTTTTTTTTTTCTTTTACATTTGATCTAATAAGTAATAAACGGGTGAACTTCTCATAAAAAGATTTAGTCTTTTTTATGTTTGTTTATATCCTATTTGGTAAGTTGATTGACGTTTTTAAACCTTGTCTTGAGGAGAGGATTTATTTTCACGTGTAATATGCCCTTTCTGATGTCCTGAAGCAGAAAATTAATGCTTGTCTGATTGGGCGTGACAAGTTCGATTTTTAACTTGATTACTTTGATTTTGACCTTGCAGGGGCATCCAACTACAATGAATTAGGCTTAGCTGATTAGTGTGTTTTCACTTTACAGTTTTAGCTTTTTTAAACCCTCCATTGCCCTCGGTTGGGTGCTATTGGAGAACGGGCGTCCTTTGTTTAACCTTGTCCAGCATCCCCTGCCTTAATTAATCATTGTCTGCTATATATAATGAAATTTTTAGTTTAAGGAAATATTCACATTTCTTGTTGTCGATTACTCACTGCCTTCGTAGTAACTATCATACCATAGCTGCATACAATCGCAACATGGGTCATTGCTTGTCAAAAATTGGGGGCTCTGCTGGTGACTGTAACTTTTATGTTTCATAAAAGGTAATACCGGTCTCCAAATTCTATGATAATCAATGACCAGCGGGGGACAAATACAAATGGCGCCGCATACAACGTAGTCGGTAGATGCAGATATTGCTGTGGCCAGGTTTTCAACTTTTTTTTTTTTTTTAAGCAACAGCAGAACACTTTTTGCAGGGGTTAATCCAACCATGAGAATTGCTACATTGACTAATGTTGCTAGCAGTTTAATCTACATTTTCCCATTGCTGTCCCACTCACTCTAGTCTTACAATTGGGTGAAAAGCTAACCGACGTAAGAGGAAGCAGGAAACCTCATGGAATGAGTAGACTTCATTTTACCATAATCAAAACTTTCATATACACATCTAAACCAACACTAAAAATCCTAACCTCCATTTTCCTTCCCAACTCTTCCTACATAAATTTAATAGTTTCATTTTGACTCTTCATCAGGGATTTAAATAGCAGTCATATTTGATTGTATTATGTTTATTGTATTTTCGAATATAATAAAAATCATTATGGTTATGGAGATCATCGTGATCATAAATTTTTTTAATTTTACATAATTTATTATAAAATATAATAATTATAACTATAATCATAAAAATTTTTATTTAATGATTTTTAAAATAGTTTATGAGATTATATTTTTTATTTTCTAAAAATAATTATTCATAATTTTAGTTAAATTATAATAGATAAAATATTCAATAATTACAAAAAAATGAAAATAAAATTAATAAGAATTAATTTAATAGCAAAAGAATTGATAATAATATAAATAGTAAAACAACAAAAAATTTATTAAATTTCAAATATAAATTATAAATTAATAAATAATAAAATCAAAATATAATATTTAATTTTAATTATTTTTCATTTAGCTTACACAAAAATTTATTAAAATTTTTCATCTAAAATTTCTATATATATCATATTAAATTATTAATCTCATAATTTTTTAAATCAAAAAATCTCAATTTTTCTAACTAAATTTTCTCTAAAAAAATTTTTAAAAATTATAAAATTTAAAATTTATATTTTAATAAAATTAATTATAAAATTAAATAAAAATCATCTATCTCCAACCTACTTCCAATGCATTCCACCCCACTTTACCCTTGATGCACCCACCTCATCCATTTCATCTGATCTCATTCTTTCACCCACCACTTTATCTGAGACAAGATCCAACACTTCGACCCATTATTTGATTTTCTTTTAAATAGTCTCTAAATTTTTTTTTAAATTTCTCTTATTCATCTTCAACTTTTTTACAACGTTGTTCCCTTAAAACAACTCAACTAACTCCTTTATTTTTTTTTTTACATCTCTTTTGTATACTCTTATCTTTTTCACTCGTATTTTTATAAACACAAAATTTAATATTATTTTATAAAACTTTTATTAAAAAAATAGATAATTTATTTTTTATTTTTATTATTGATTGAAGATTTGAAGTTAATTTGAATTTAAATAACTATAGATTGAATGATTAATAATTGATATTATTTTTTAAAATTTTTTAGATAAATTTTAAAATTAAAAATATAAAAATAAAATTGACTAACTAAGTTATCTTTTGCTTTTATTTTTACTTTTACAATTTTCGTTATTTTATTATTTTAATTTTTGAAAATATTGAGAAATTGGATTGAAACTTAAAAAAAAAAATTAATTTATATTGATAAAAAAATAAAATAATAACAATAACGATCAATTATTATTGTTATTTTTTATTACATTATTATTGAGTCAATCACATTTTTTTTATAACGACGACGATGATGACATTATTGCGATCGCTATTCCATCGTAACACCGTACGGTATGGGACCGGAGGCGACGAAGTGGGGTCCGGGTTTTGACATCGAAGACTTGGTAGAGACCGGAGAGGTCCGAAGCGGCTAAGAGGAGGCCGTCGAGACGGAAGGAGAGACGTGGAAGGAGGAGGAAACGTCGCCCGTCGGAGATGGGGAGAGGGGAGAAGAGAGAAAGGGGAGCGGACTAGGCTGCAGCGAAAGGTGGGTCCGTGTGGAAAGGAGAAAAGGAGAAGAAAGAGACTGAGGAAACGAGGTTTGGGGCTTGAGTAGATTTGAAAGAAGACCTATATTAGGATTTTGGGGTTTGGGTTTGGGTTCGTGGTTTAGGTTTGATTAGGAAGGTTTTTGAGATTATTGTTGTTTGTTCTGGGCTGATTTCTGCAATTTTTGCTGCAAAATCGAGGTATTTGGCGTGTTTAGGGTTTTTGAATTTTGGCGGCGCAATAAAACGGGGCGCTCAAGAAAAAGAAAGAAAACTTCCGTGAAGAGCCACGTGGCTATCTTCAACAGTCTCAATGGCCCATTTGGCACTTTATTGCATTAACCCAATACAAAAAATAGAAAATTGGAAAATAGGGAAAAATCACTACTATGTTAATTCCACGTTGGCAATCCGTGGCTTCTTCCCCTGAACCAATCAAAACATAGTGCCCCGCCAGCAAGCCAGCTTCCCATGCCCTTTATAAATTCCTACCTTTCTTCTCATTGATAGTCACAGAAAAGTTCACTTAATTTCTCCATTCTGCATCTGCCCCAATTTTATTTGTTTCTTCTTCTTAACAATAATAATCTAGGGTTTAAAGCGAAGATGAGCTCAACAGGATCAACAAAGGGTGGCAGAGGCAAGCCTAAATCCTCCAAATCTGTTTCCAGATCTCAGAAAGCCGGCCTCCAGTTCCCCGTAGGCCGTATCGCCCGCTTCCTCAAAGCCGGAAAATACGCTGATCGTGTCGGTGCCGGTGCCCCCGTCTACCTCTCAGCCGTCCTTGAATACCTCGCCGCTGAGGTCCGTACCCTTCGTTTTTCCTCTATTCTTTTTAACATTTCCGTGATCGTAATTTACTTAATAGGGTCGGACCTAAACGAAAACAATTAGGTGGAAATTTGACCGTATGGGCTAAAAAACTTGAATGTAAAAACTCTCTTTATGTTTGCAGGTTCTTGAACTTGCTGGAAATGCGGCTAGGGACAACAAGAAGAATCGTATCGTTCCCAGGCACATACAACTGGCTGTGAGGAATGATGAAGAGTTGAGTAAACTTTTGGGGACTGTTACGATTGCTAACGGTGGTGTTCTACCGAACATTCATCAAAATCTGTTGCCGAAGAAGATTGGTAAAGGGAAGGGTGATATTGGATCGGCTTCACAAGAATTTTAGGAGATTCTCCTTTCATTTTTGTAGTGTCAGAGAGTCTCCTTGTTTTGGAACTTTATTATAATATTATTATTAAAAAAAAAAAAAAGAATCGGATTGATCTTGATGGGTTGTTTTCTGAACTTTCAATCGATCCTGTATAGTTTTAATTTTGGGATGGTTTTGCTTTGGTTGAATATAGGTTCTGCAAATTGAAATGCTACATTTTCTCTTATAGAATCAAATGAATATGTATAAGAACAAGACTTTCATCTGATGAAATGTTTGAGGAAGTTGGTGTCTTTTATCTGGAAATATTAATTCTCAGATGAGCAACGTTTTTAATACTATTTACCTTGCATTTGCAATAATTTTCTTTCTTTCAAGTAAGCTAGGCTTAACTTACCACCGGCCGTGATATTTCTGGTGTTTTATGATGGGTCGGATTATTCTGTTCGTCAAATTCAAATTCTGATACTTTGCAAAGACAACCTGCCAAGGAAGATATTTTGATGATGAATATCAATTGGGGATATAGCTCAAATGGTAGAGCGCTCGCTTTGCATGCGAGAGGTACAGGGTTTGATCCCCTGCATCTCCAATTGGTTTTTCATTTTTGCTTATTATATCTGGTGTCGGAATTTTCAATAAACGACCGCATGGAAGTTCGTAGCAGAGCCTGGGAGCATCCTTTATCCTCTCATCTGATAAGTCCCGCCATTTTTTTCCAGGGTTTTGGTTGACATTAGGAGGAATGTCCCTTCGTCTAGACAGCCTTGCTCCTAAGTTGACAGTTTCAAGGCTCTCCTTGGAACTCTAGTAATGTCTCTATCTCTCTGAGTTTTGTCCTTATAAGCAATGACTTTTGGCGAGCAGAACTTTCTTCCTCAGTCATTTCTTCTTCTCGATCAAGCTTTTGACACCTGAATCAACTTCTTTGACTCTGCCGAAATGTACAATTTCCTCCTATTTACCTTAAACTCATTTTGGGGTTTTTCGCATTCTTTTGGTTTCTTAAGCGTTGGGATATTTATGTTCATATTTTGTTTTGCAAGTATAGGTATCCAGTTCCTCAGCATGCTGAAACTCAAGGAAGAGTGAGAAAATACTTTGGTCAATGGGTTAGAGAGAGGAAGATTTCCCTTGATCTTGTTGTCATTGCCTACCGAGGTTAGCTCTGTTTCTTGCCTTATCAGATGTTTAACTAAGTGGTGTTGTCCTCTAATTATCAGTGTCCATTTTTGATGTTTTGTACCTATCCTACTTAATCTTTGTTTGTGTATGAGTGCACTCCGGATATGTATACTTCAGTTTAGTCTCATTGCGAGAAAAGAAGAAAAAGGAAAATCAGTTTCATGCGTTTTGTCCTTTGGTTAAACCTGCAGGGTGAGACTTTGTTCAGTAGTGGGAAGAATTTCAATTCAGTATCTGCATGGGACTAAATCCTTTTAGAGTTAGACAAACATTTCAATCCAAGGTTTTGCATGTGGCACTAGTATAATATACGTTGTAGAATAAGTTCAAATTGAAAAGGGATGCCTTTTTATGCTTTTCACCCCCTTAGCTGTTAATATATCTTTTGGTCTGTTGATCAGAACTGTGACCAGAATTGCAGTGAGTTAGGTGTGAAGTTTATAGCATTGGTTGTGTGGATATGATGATTCTCATTATGTGGGAAGCATAATTTTGAAACTGAGTATTTTCCTAATGGTGTATACTGTTAATATACCTTTTGGTCTGTTGATCAGGACTGTGTCCAGAATTGCAGCGAGTTAGTTGTGAAGTTTATAGCATTGGTTGTGTGGATATGATGATTCTCATCATGTGGGAATCAAAATTTTCAAACTGAGTATTTCCCTAATGGTGTATATTTGTCAATCCATTAATCTTTGTCACACTTTTAAAAGTTTTGCATTGAATATTGATCATAACAAGTGGTTATGAGACAGATTGCTGGTCCTTCTGGGCAAATGAATTGGATTAGAGATGGGCCAAAGTGTTTAGGTGCCAGGAATATTACTGAGGCTATAGATAGCAGGTTAGTTCCATATGTTATGGTTGCTGTATCATCAATTGCACTGTAAATGTGTCTCGATTGTTCACTGTTTGAAATTGTTTTCCTATGTAATTAGTGTATTATAATGTTTTTATGCTAATATCCCATGTATGATTTCGTTATCACTTGTATCAAGGGGAATTCACTTGCTAATTCCTGACTACTGTCCTTGCATGTTAAGTTTACTCATTTAGGCCCATTCTTAAAATTATGTAATTTGTTTCCTAGAAACGATGCTTTGGGTATTCTGGATAATCAACATTTTACTTACTGAAACTGTAACTTATGATTAAGTTATAATAATTGCAAATACCTCTCTGAATTTGGTTTTCTTGAAGTACCTGATTGTAGATTGGATAAATAGAACATACTAGTGCAACTGAAGTTACTGAGCTATCTATAATCTAACTTAACCATCATCATATTTGGTTTTACCATGAGTGCGCATAACTAATACAAATCATTTTTTTGTACGGTGATGTGTATGTATATGCACAACACATAACTAAAAATTTATTTCTAGGAGAATGATATTATGTGTGCCCTTTTTGTGTGTGTTTGTATTCTATTATGCTCTATAGCTTCATGTTTGAGTTTGCGGTTTAATGTGTCTGCAAATGGATTACATTGATCTTTATCAAATCCATTGGCCTGATCGGTTTCTATGTAGATCTTCTCCTTTATTTATTTATTTCCTTGGGGGACAGGTTGGTGTTGTGGAGTTGCCAATTTGCGACAAAATATGCAAACAGAGAAAAGATAAAATCAACTTTCTTAAATATTGTTCATATATTTTATTTTTTCTTTCTTTTCAGTTTCTTTCTCATTTTGCAGAAAATAATGCTTGCTACCCTAAGATATTATGCATGCAGGTTGTCTGTGCTTTGGTGGTTAAAGCAATATATCCTCCGTCTCTCGCTGCCTTGTATATGTTGAGGCTGATAAACAGCTTATATTTTTCTTTTATGATAGAATTCATACCGCTTGCTCTGCCAAACTTTTGATTCTGGAATGGCTGAGGGCTGTCGCCATGAGAGGTATACTGCAAGTTTTATGTTTATAAATTGAGAAGGGAAGAGGATAGTTAATTTCATCATGTATAGGATCTCAATAGAACCAATCTCTGGAAAATCATAGAAGTGATAAGGATAAGTCATGCATTCCGTGTCCTTACATCATATTCTTTTTTACTATAATTAAACTGTCATTCTGAAATATGATTTATCATTAAAAATACAGAGTTTACCTCTGCAGTAATATGAATTTGACAGAAGGGACCTTCACCTAGAGCTGCTGCTCATAATTGAAGTGTTATAGGATTCTTTATTTTCTGCTTTCCATGTAAAAGACATACTTTATTCATTCTCTGCTAAAAAGTTAGAGTTAGGGCTCTGAATATTCACTGGAAGTTCCCTTTGTTAACTCTTTATTTAGTTTTAGTCATTTATGTAGATTATGAAAAAGGTTTGTTATTATTACATTATCTTTAAAAATTCTTCTTTGTTATACTCGTTCACTATTCTATAGGATCAACTTGTTGGCCTACAGCCCACTTGCAATGGGTATACTTTCAGGGAAGTATTTTGGCTTCTAATGGTGGTCCTCCTAATACCCAGGTTAAATCTTTTTCAGGAGGTTGATTACCAACCCTTTGTTTTATATTCCATTGTTTAGGATTCCTCCAAATCATCATTGAGGCTTTTTTTTTTTAAATCTCATTTCTGCTTTCTAGGGAGGTATTCAGAAGGTGAATCCCGATACAACCTGACCAGAAGCACATTAAAAGCAGCTACAATGGTAAGCAAATTATTGTGAGTTTGAATCTAGACATTAATGTACGCCACTCTATTTTGTAGGTTGAGTGGGAAAAAGGAATCTGTTTATGCATTTTCTACTGAGATGTTGTATGATGATTAATTCAAATGGATTTCATGCAGGACACCTATGAAGAAGGATATTGAAAGATATTCCAAAAGTACAAAGTTATATTGAATTTATACGGAAATTCAATGATTTGCTTTTGCTAATTGTTTGATTTGAGCATGTTGCCTCATTCTTTTTGGTCCATGTTTTCCCTTTCTGTCTCAAGAACTGAAAATGAATTAACAATGGAAGCGGCAAAGATTTGGACTTTTTTTTTTTTTTTTTTTTGCCGAGGGAATTAAGAATTTGATGATGTTTCTACGGGCAATTTGCTATATCTGGTGTCAGTGTCACGCCAACTAGAGCTATCGAATCTGGGTTGGGATTCGAAGTAATCAGCTTGGTATTTAATGGGCAATTTGGTACGGAAGGACGACAGGATAGGAGAAGTACAATGACCATCAACTCTCGTACTGTGACAGAACTCGGCTTTTCCGCATCTATATACAAGCAAAAAAAACAAAGAGGAAAGCAATAAAATTCTAAACGAACAATGCACACACACATCCCCCTTGCATCACGGATTTACGGACATCTCTAACGTTTGACTCTTTTTTTGGTTTTTTGGTTATCGAAATAGGGACTACAAATCCGCCCTCCAGCGTTAGGCCTCCGCTTATTTCACATTCTCAATATGTATGAAAAAATCATTTAATTTTCTTAAAACCACCAAAAAATAGAAGAAAAAAGACAGGGTCCCGACCAACAATCTGGGCCCCACCATTGAGCTCCGATCTCGAGTTCTTTAGCGTTTGGTTAATGTTATATTTAGGAGATGGGAATTGTTTGTAAGGGATTTGGGATTATTTTTTTAATTTTTTAACAACATTTTAAAATTTTGTTAAAAAGGAAAAAGTTTACAAAAAATAATTTTTAAAAAGTTTAAGTTTTAATTTTATAACTTTCTTATATTTTAAACATCAAAATCTCATATTTTATCAAAAAAGTGTACAAATTTTTATTTTATATTGCCACGTGTGAACAAATTTGAATTGTTTCCATATGATCTATCAGAACCCATTTCTCATAGTAGGTGTTTCCATAAATTCCATGGTAAACTCTCCCCACCTTCTGACTGCTCTCAACACCAAATTGTTCTTGTTGTACAAGAAAATGCCGCTCTCCATCCTAATAATGTTACCTGGCTCAAACGCGTCACGCTTCCTACCCCCCAAACCACCACGTGAGCCGCTGTTTTGTCCGCAACAACCAAGCAAATCTTATTTATTTTTGACCATCCGAGGTTGTCTTGCCTGTTTCTAATAATATGGACTGCATGTTTATATTGTCAGAGTGGCCGGAACAGTTTCATCGAGGGGAAACAATCACAGCATCCTCTCCCTTCTACCTGCTATAACATAAATAACTCGTATCCCAAAACAAAGTAAATAAAGGCACAACTCCTTTAACCATTTTTACAGACAGCTAGTGCACATTTCTTTTATCAGAGTTTTTTTTTTTTATTTTAAGCTTGATTCATCGAACACCCTTCAAAGCTGCTCGTCGAAGAACGATAATAATAATAATGTAATGGAATTCGAATTGGCTGACATTTTAGAAACATGAATAAATAAAGAGAGAGCAACTGCACAAAAAGCTGGAACAAAATTCAATTCTACCCTTTCATTACTTAGGAAGAGATTTACACATGTAAAACCATACTTTCATCACATGCTATCAACAGAACCCAACCAATGTAAGAGACATGATGTACTAATGAATACTCCCTAAAATTCCTGAGAAGCGGAACCGATATCGCCCTTTCCCTTCCCATTCTTCTTTGGCAGCAAATTCTGATGAATATTAGGCAAAACCCCTCCATTTGCAATCGTCACACCTCCCATCAGCTTGCTCAACTCTTCGTCGTTCCTCACAGCCAATTGAATATGCCTCGGAATGATTCTGTTCTTCTTGTTGTCTCTTGCGGCGTTTCCAGCCAACTCCAACACCTGTGAGATTAGAAATTCAAAAACAGATTAGTTAATGCCTTCATTTAAATTTTAAAGGTTTTCACATAAATGGAGGATTTTCGATTTCATAAACCTCAGCGGCGAGGTATTCGAGGACGGCGGAGAGATAAACGGGGGATCCAGATCCAACACGCTCGGCGTATCGTCCTTTCTTCAGGAAACGAGCAACGCGTCCAACAGGGAACTGTAAACCAGCTTTGCTAGACCTGGAAATGGCTTTGGCCTTTGGCTTGCCTCGGCCTCCTTTGGTTGTTGTTGCTGCAGAGCTCATGGATGAAGAATTTTTTTTTTCAAGGAGGAAATTAAGCGAAAGTGAGATTTAGGAATGTTTGAAATTGCTTTTGGTGGGATACGGAGATATGGTTTTTTGCGCTTTGGGTTTATATAGAAGTGAAAGGTACTTTCTGATTGGTTGTTTGGCTTTCACGCAGATCGCCAACGTGGAATTTGTTTTACGATACATGGATTTCCAACGTGGAAATAGGTTTTAGATTTGTGTTTTGATTGGTTGGGTTTGAATTCACTTGGATCGCCAACGTGGAAGCTCAATTTTGGTGCGACTGATTTTAGATTAGACGCGTAGGCGGGAAGTGAAAACTTTTGGTTATATTATTTATTTTTTAGAGTTTATAATTTCAATTTAATCTTTTTAATTAACAATAATTTATTTTTCAGTCGGGCTGTTTCTATTGTATCCAATTACTAACCCACCCGTCCTTGGTTGAAATAAGGCACAAACCCAATAATCCACCATGGACTTTCTCTATCGCAAATTACTATAGCCCAACCTGTTGGATAATTTGATAATGATTCTGGTTTCAGTACTGAGAGTTGATGTACATTAGCATGCCTAGTTTCTGACATCAACGTTCACCAATTTTCTCAAATGAGTGATAGAAATGATCCAACAATGGAAACTTCACAATATAATATTTCTACTACTTGATTATATACTTAGCTTAGGCCAAATTGAACTCCAATAAATTATGAATTTTCTCATTTCTCTCAACAGCCAAAGAGGCAGGATTTGGTGGAAACTGAATTATCAAAACTGAACCTAACGCAACTAGTAATACTGATAAAAGGCAAAATCCCATTTCATTTGGGCATGTAAATTTGATCCTCTGAACTGGATTTACTGCTTGGTTGGGAGCAGAACATTCTCCCTTCTCCCTCTGACCAAAGAAAGTGACACCAGCCACATTATACAATGAAAATTTTACTCCTCTGTACAGGTTTCAAAATTACCACAAGAAAAGAAAAATAAACAAAACAGCCAGTCAAGCTCGTTCCTTCTCATGACACACAGGTTGAACATAAGAAGGGTGATTCTTAAAACAATCAGAATTCAAAGGAACGAGACTCTTCACATTAGCTTTAGCTCCATGAGCAATCAACAACATAGCAACTTCAACGTGTCCTGCCTCCACTGCACAATGCAACGGTGTGTACCCATTATCATCAACAAGGTTAACCTGAGCACCATGGTTAAGCAAAACCTTAACACTCTCAATTCCACCTTTAAATGCAGCCCTATGTAAAGGTGTCCATCCATTCTGATCTTTTCCATTCACATTTGCACCTTCAGCAAGTAAACTCTTTATCCCATTAACATTATCAATCCTTGCAGCTCGGCTCAAAGCATCACCTAAATGCAACAAATCATACAAATTTGAATGCTCATTTTCAACAGCAAGTGCAAAAGCAGTCTTCCCTTGTTTATTCAAAGCATATTTAGAATAATTTGAAGCCTCTAACAAACACGCTACGGCATCTAAATGACCTTCCTGAGCAGCTAAATGAAGTGGAGTACATCTATTAATATCTAAAACTTCAGGGTTCCCTCCAACTGTTAAACAAAATCTAATCATTTCAGTATAACCGTAACTTGCAGCTATGTGAATTGGAGTTCTACCACAGAGGTCAACAGAATCCAAGTTCACATTTTTATAAGCCCGTAATAAGAAATCTATCAAATCTACTCTATCTATTGCTGCTGCATAGTGCAAAACATGATCAACTGAATTATCAATTTCACAACCATAAGAAATCAAGACATTGACAACTTCAAAATTTCCAGCTTCAACAGCTAAGGAGATCAAGGACCTTCCTTTAGTGTCCTTATCATTTAGATCTCCACCATGAACAATAAGGGAACAAACCAAATTAGGTTCCCCTGAAACGACAGCTGATTTGAGTAACCATGTGAGCTGATTCTCACTACACCCAGAAATTGCTTTGTTCAGAAACAGATCAACATCTGCGATATAGGTATGGCTAGAAATGAGATGTTGAATCACATGAGGACCCACAAAGGAGATTGGTAAAGTAGCGTCCTTGAATATGTGGATTCCAGGCTTGGAAAACAGGTGGCGGAGATCATCATGATGAGCCTTGCCTAAAGGAAGCATGGTGGTTTTGACGGCGATGGAATCTGGAGGATTGGACAGAGGAGGTTGATCAGACCGCTGGGAGAGGAGAGTATAGGATGAAGATGAGAGGGGAGGGATTATGGAAAAAGGCTTGTTAAAAGAGAAGAAAGATGGACTTTGGGTGGTTAAAGAAACCGCCACGGACATGGTATGCATAAGATTTGTTAAACGGAAAGCTGCGGTGCTCTTTTGACCTCCAATGAAGACTAATTCTACTTCTTTCACATCGGCTTTCACTAACCTGTCCATGGAATAGCTAACTCCAGCCTCTTTCCCTGGAAAACTTTTGAGATTTAGGAGGGGTTATTTGATTGCAGAGGAAAATGAAGATAGAAGAAAAAAATATGCTCTTTCTTCTTTGCTTACTTTTAGATTATTATAAAGTTAATTGATTAATTTAATGTTGACTTGTTGGTAAACATTTGAGTGGTGTGAAAATGGAGCGGGTAAGGAAAGACTTCGAAAATGAGAGGAAGGAGTCATTGTCGTGGCTTTCTAATCGTTTGAACAAGGAGCAGCCTTGAGGAGTGCAGGAAAAAGAGGCACTTTTTCCTGATGGATGAAAGATCAACCACTTCATCTTTGAAAATTGCTACTGTCATGGAATTTTCATAGTTGTGACATTTTCAAAGGGAGACCACCATTTCTGTTTGAACGGATAAGAAAAAGCGGCTAACTGTTACGCTTTGTGTTTATCCTAAAATATTATCTTTTAACATGATTTTTTTTTCTCTTTTTTATGAGGATTAATCATTTGTTTGATGGGATCTTTAAGAATAAACATAGATTCTAATTATAATAACATGGGGTAGGCTGGAATTATTTGTTTGCATTTATAATAATGCTTATAGTTACATCAGCTTCCATTATTAATTTGTCCCCAACTTGCCATTAAATATTTTCCCTGTGATAAATTATTGAGGAATCCCTAAACCTCTTTCTTTTCTTTTTTGTAAACTTTTCGTATTTTTTGAATTGTTTATTTTGTTAAACATTTGACCGCTTGTGTATGGTTTGGTAAAAAGCATTTAGACACACAACATCCTTGACTGATTAAACCGTAAACGTCAGAACCAGAGATCTACGAGGTGAGGAGATAGCTTTAAAGAAACAGAAGTTCTTAGACCATTCCTCTTGGGATGTAGTAATTTCCCACAACATTCCCCATGAATATGATGCAAGGAAATTTGATTAGAATTGAGAACACTGAATGCTTGTTCTCAGAAAGATGGTTAGAAATTTGGTGTAGGATCCAATGACAGTAACTTGCCATTTGACTATTCCATAACTATCTGTGACTAAAACTTTTTAACTAATGAATTTTATACTTGTTATGAGCTCATATTTTCGTTTGGCATGGGCAAACTCTTTAATTTTTGTAGTGAAAAGACATTTCTGTAATTTCTTTTTATTATTATTGAAAGCTGTCACTGGTTATTAGGTTTATTAATCTGTTTTTTTCTATTACCATGCTTGTGTTACACTTTTGAATGCACTGCTAGTCTGCAAATAATACATATTTCAAAAGTAAAATTAGCTCTTATTCGAATGATTCAGACTTATATTTTTTTCAGAGTCTTTCACATTTCCCTTTATCTAATTAAATTACTAGAGAAAGAACAAAGCTAGAATTCCGAATTTCCAATGCATTTGTGCGTCAGTAGATGCTGCATTGGAGCTCTTCCATTGCACTTTTTAGGAATATATATATATATATATATATATATATATATATCATCCCCTGTTAGTCAAGTAAAAGTTTTGGCAGACTGCCAGTAGCTCCCAAAGATCCATTGCAATCTTTCCATGTGAGTAATATCACAAGCTGTTGCTGAACCAAACAATCATATTACAAAACTTTCTAGATCTCTCCTGTTTCTTACCATTTCTATACACTAACTTAAGTCTGTGTTACCATATATCATCTGAAACTTTCAGTTTTAGCTTGTTTTCTGTTAAGTATATGCAACAAAGAAAGGTTTCATTATTTATAGAAACTGCTTATTTACGCTAAGGACTGTGACTGTTGCTGTATATTGTGACAACGTCTAGGTTGAGAAATTTCTCATTATACACAAAAATTATGGAATTATCATTAATTTTTTTTTATGTGTAATTGATCACCTATGTGAATTTATATTTTTTAAGATTGTCCTAATTGTAAACTTAAAGATTCCTGAAAAAAAAAAAAAGATTTTGGTGTATATCATCAAAACTAATATTTTGGAGTCGATTACATACGTGGAAGATGTTAGTACCTTTTTATGCCCAAATTTAGTACCACATTAATTATATGTTATTTTGCTCAAGCCTTAATAAAAAATAATTTTTATCATACAAATCAAAATCATAACATGGTAATACAAAATTCTATCAGATTATCAAGCAGTCATGCAATCATAAAATAATATTAAAAAATTATATCATACAAAAATTATCATATCAATATATTATAAATCATATCAAATATCATACTTAGATCATATTAAAATATTCATACGAGAATCTTATGCAAATATATTAATTATCATACAATAAAAAATATCATGCAAATATATAATCAAATATAATCACATAAATATATCATGTGGCTAAATATAATCATGTAATTATGCACACAATAAATATAAAAATATGTAAATATATTAGCAATTATGCAATTAAATATAATCATACAATTAAATATAAAATACCATGCAAATATATTACTAAGTCACACAAATAATATATTAATAATCATGCAAATAAGTATATTAATAACATGCAATCATAAATATATTAAGTAATTATTCAAATAAATATAAAATAACCATACAAGTAAATATAATAATTTTCATGCAAACATGCAATTAAATATATTATTATGCAAATAATAATATAAATCATGCAAATAAACATGTAATTAAATATATAAATAATCATGCAAACATGTAATTAAATATATTAACATGCAAATAATAATATAAATTATACAAACAAACTTGCAATTAAATTAATCAATAATCATGCAATAATAAATAACCATGTAAATAAATATATTAATTATGCAAGTAAATATAATCATTATGAGAATATTAATCATGCAAGTATTAATAAAAAATAATCATGCAAATACATAATTTCATGCAAAACCAATCAAGCAAATATACAATCATAAATATTCTTATCAAAATTTTCTTTTTTCTTTTTAATCCTAATAAAAAACAAAAAAACTTAAAACAAACAGAACAAAAAATAATCCAAAAAATAAAAATTATAAATTAAAATAAATTAAAATTGGAATTAAAAAAAAAAAAACTTACACGCACGTCAGATCATTACCAAGTCTAAGTGCGGATCCACTTGGGTTGGCTCTTCCCAAAATGGCACCATTTTGCACTCAAAGGCAAAAAAATAAGACTTTTCTTAAATTTGCCTAGCTTAGTCTATCTCTAGATCCCAATTCCTCCTACCTCTCTCTAACTTCAAACAAAGAATTTAAGAATTTTTAAAGATCGACCACTAATTTCAAAATTTGACACTGAAAAATTTAACTGATCGTCGATAAATTTACAAATCGATCATTAATTTTAGAATTTGATGCTAAAAAACATTCAATTGATTGTCAATAAATTTAAACAAACTCAATTTTTTTTTTAGAAATTGACGTAAACTCGTTGAAAAAATAAAAATCCCATAAAAAAATTCAAATTTAAATCCAAAACACTGAAAAAATTACAAAAAAAACAATCCAATCCCCAAAATTTAAATCAAATTTCAGAAGACCAAAAATTTTAGAAATCCAAGATTAAACTCAAAATCAAACTACAATTCTCAAACAATCAAAATAAAAATCTAGAACCCTAAACACAAATCCCAAAAAAAATATAAACCCAAAAAGTTTTTGATTGCCCTTTTGCTTCTACATTCCTTCCTCCTCCCTTTTATTCTGACAGATTGTCTTTATACAGGGATTTAATCCCTTTTAGTTTAGAAACTAGGAAATCTTACCGAATCTAAGAAAATTTTTTAAGATTTAGGTTTTTAAATCTTTCTTTTTTTATTGAATTGGGAATCAAGTTTTTCTAAATTAATCTATCATTAAATTTCACAAAATTAAAATCCAAAATTCTCTAGAAAACAAAAACACAGGTTTTGATTTTCTGTCTTTTTTTGTTTTTTGACTTTTCCCTTTTTTCCCCTTTTTTTCAGAAAACTAAAAGTAAAAACAAAATCAAAATTGAAAATCAAAACTAAAATTAAAATTAAAAATCAAAATCAAAACTCAATTAATAATCAAAATTAAAAATCAAGGTTCAAAAATTTTTTTGTTTGAGTTTTCAATTGTTGGGCCCATAATTTTATAAATGAAGCTCATTTTATTACCAAAAAATTTTTCAGACAAAATATGATGTTTACGTGTATAAAAAGTTCATTAATCGATTTCATAAAATTTGAAACTTGACGGTTGACATGGACTAGCCTCAACCAAAGAAGGCTTCATGTCCTTGATTATTTTATTCAGCTTCCTATTCACCAGAGTGCAGAAATAAGAAAAATGCTATTCTTAGATCTAACAACCGATATATTTGAGGCATCTTTGTAATTTTATTTGGCCTCACTTCGAGGAATGCGTGAGATTTTTTCAACTAGTTAACCTATTCTGATCACAGCAGAAAACCCTTCCAAAAATTGTCTAATTGATGTTCTACTGTAAACTATTGTTAAACCCATCGCCTTATTTGCTATCCTACAACATGTCATATGGATAATAACGATACTTGCATATAGTTTTAGTTTTTACAAATAATGCATTGAGCGAGGGCTAATTATGAAAGCTTGGGGAGGCAGTCTGATGATGTTCTTTCAACCAGGTCATAAGTTTTCAATACCAAGGATCTGCAATCATCTGCCACATGAAGATGATTTATAAATTTAAATAAAAAAAAATCAAAAGAGTTTCCATCAGCTGTAGATCCTATTGAGTTGCACTCATATGTTTGTTAGAAATAATTTACTTATTTGCAGTTTTGAGCATAAGGCAACTTGTTGTATTTATTAGTATAACCTCTGCAATCTAAAGCTGGTATCTTGGTTCTCTCTGTCCTTTATATTTTCTTCTATTGCTGTAATAATGCATATACTGGCGAATATAGCTAAGGAATCCATGTGAAATTAAGCTTTTTCCTTTTCCTCCGGGATATCAGGACATACTACAGACACTTCTTCTGTAGTATGTTCTTTTGTACTTTCTAGTTTTTGGAGATATATATATATATATATATATATATGCATTAATGTCATGCCTAGATACTCATAGCAAAACAATCTCCTTTCATCTTAATGATCCCACTCCTTCATTACTGCTTCAGATAACAAATAGCCAACAACCAA